GCTCCTCACTGCACTTCAGTGAAAGGTGATGGGGGAATGGAGCCCTTCGTGGGGCTGGCTCTAGAGAGGCTTGTCTGCCCAGGGCAGGGACCAGAGGGGAGGGTGGAGGCTTCTCCAGCAGCCTGGCAGTGGGGCTGCTTCTGCACTCCCCTCTCTTCCTGTGCAGGACAAGACTCCCCTGAAGCGCCCTCCGGACACCTTCCTGCCCAGGGCCCTGCAGCTCATCCGGGAGGTGAGCCGCCCCTACTCGGGCCCTGCCGTGGTGTGGTCGCTCTACCTCACGGCTGCCACCATCTGCCTCCTGCGCGCACTGGGCAGCAGGACCCTGGGCGGTGCCCCCAGCAGCCGGCACAAGGGCTCCAAGCGGCCGGACGCAGCCGAGGGGGACGGGGACCATGCGGGCGAGAAGAACGGGCAGGTGCGGAAGAAGGAGGCGGAGGAGAAGGCTGAGGGCAGAGCCCGAGGGGCTGGAGACACCACTTCTGACAGCCTGCGGAGCACCAGGAAGAAGAAGTAGCCCCCCTGTCTTCCAGGCACTGACGGCAATGGCTCCGCTCTGGTGTCCTGTCTCTGGCCTTGCTGCTCTCGCCCTGCCTGGCTCCTCCCGGCGCTCCCCTCCCCGTAGCCAGATGGCAAATGGAGGGTGGTGGCTGCGGCCACAGGCCTAGCAGCCTTCAGCCCCATGCTGGGCTGGGCTTCTCCCATGCGCTCAGTCCCCTCCTTTTCCTGCGGCCTGGCCCAGCTGTGGCGTCTGCTGCCCCCAAGCCGGCACGCGCGTTGCGGGGAGCCAGCAGCTCTGCGGCTGAGTCAGGAGCTGGCGTTGCCCCCTGCGGCTCCTCGCCCTCTCTCCCTGGGCCTGGGGCTCTGCTGAGCTGACCCAGCTCCAGCCCCTTGGGGGGCAGTAAATGGGGTGAGGTGAGAAGTGTGGGGCTCCGGGTGATGCCTGTAGGCAAGGAGCCGGGTCCAGCTGGAATGAGCTGCAGGCTCTGGCTCCCCCCAGCCTTTCCCCTTGGGGTGAGGGGCAGCAGTGGGGTCCTGCTGTGGCAGGCCGGTGATGCCTGTAGGCAAGGAGCCGGGTCCAGCTGGAATGAGCTGCAGGCTCTGGCTCCACCCAGCCTTTCCCCTTGGGGTGAGGGGCAGCAGTGGGGTCCCGGTGTGGCAATCATGCCAGCCTGTCCCCTCCCCCT